ACTTAAATGACTATATCTCTAAAGGAATATTTCATCCCAAACAATCCTATAACCTATTGCATATCTATGACCACATATAAACATGAATGTAGCCGAGAAGGAACCATATAGCTATAAAGAGAATCGGTGATTTAGATACTTGATGACATGAATGTTACTAAGAAAGGTTCTTGCACTGCCTACAGCAGTTGCGGAGTCTAGCCACCAAAATGTGAGGTTCATGCGCTGCATACCGCAGCTGTGAAGCCTAAACACCAAACACAAGTTTTTGCACTGCCTATAGCAGCCGCAGAGCATAAATATCAAATACGAAATACGAGGTACGTACGTACTTTCACTGCATACAGCAGCCACAAAACCTATATACCAAACGGTTTTTGCACTGCCTACAGGAGGAGCCTAATGAAGTCCATATTCTGCTAATGGCAGCCGCAAGACCTAACAGTACTAACCAATGGGCGGGAGGAGTGTGATGATAGAGCCAGTCTTAACTCCAAGGCGAGCGATAGCGAAAAGAAAGATAATCTCTTCTACTAACCAAATGCTCCTTAATATTAAATACATTACTGGTTACATATTCAGAACCATATGATTACCCCCTTACCCATTCTCATAGTAATTCACATTTTAGCACCTATATTAACCAGAAAATACTTGTATCTAACAAGTCACCATAAAGCTGTACACATCCATAAGAAGTTAAACGACAAATTGAGCATGTGATCTATAAAGTCATCTGATTTCGCAATAATGAACGCTCTGTCACTTTGTTGACGAGCTTTTCAAATAATTTAATTTATTCCAGATACTAATTCTAATTTTTTTTTGTACTATCAATACTGCCTAATTGCATGTACTCTCTAAATGCATAAAAACTAGTTTTTAATTATCAACACAAAGATGGTTCTTATAACTTAAATGCATATACTGTCTATATGCATAAAAAAAAGTCGTATCGACTACAATCAACCCTCCATAAATGCATATCATCGGGGCAAAACTTTTGAGGGCTTGCATTTAGAGAACAATAATTAAAAATGCATTTATGAGAGTTTAGTATATATTCGTGCCAGAAAATTAATATGCATTTAAGGAAGTCATGCATTTAGGGAGGATGCATTTAGGGGGTTGACTGTATATTAAAACAGGAGGAACTGTCAATGTTACATGACTAATTCTTCACCCAGTGTGTAACATATAAAAAACTTACTTTACAATACCGGATCATTCCGCTAGTACAAGTTATGATAATTCAACTCTATTTTATTATAATAAAAAAATGGAATGATCTGGGATTGTAAAATAATTTTTTTATACGTTGTACACCGGTGAAGAATTAGCCATATAACATCGACGGTTCCTCATGTTCTATATTGTTAAGTATCACATTGTATTTTTTTTTATATACAGTATAAAATAATTCAGTTTTTTTACTGAATACTAACTCTAATCTCTTCCTGCCTAATAATTCAAATAAGATCAAGTATCACGTCGCATCTTTTGTCTTTATATAAACAATTTATTTTTTTGCTAAATCCTAATCTAATTTTTTTTTAGTTTGATAATGTAATTCAGGTCAATTATAGCATTGCATCATCATTTATTTGATTTTTGTATTTATCGTTAAGTTAGGCTAAGTATCTGTTGAATGTATTTTTTGTACGCATTACGATTTCTTCATCAAATACTAATTCAATCTTTTTTTACATTAGCGATCTGATATAGGTTCAGTTTTATATTGAATACATTTTTTTATGCATTGCGATTTCTTCATTGGATACCAATTCAATCTTTTTTTACATTAGCGATTTTATTTAGGTTCAGTTTTATATTGTCTCAATATAAACAAACTTGGTTCTTCGCTAAAAATTACGGTTTTACCAAAAAATCCCGACATCAAAAATCTCGACAACCATAATCCCGATGTGGCGATTAATATTTAAAGATTAGTAATCACATTAACAATCATTGTCAGACATTAAATTTTTAATTGTCACCTCGCGTGATGGCAATATTATGACATGTCGAGATTTTGGATGTCGGGATTTTTTGGTAGAACCAAAAATTACTAACCTTGTTTGTGATAATATAGATCAAGCATCTGACAATGATAATTATGACATGGTTTTATGTCTATTTAGGGTACCCTAGCCATGCCAAAGGATGGTCTGATTACGTGACAAGCGAAATTCTTTAAAGTTTATTTAAAATCAGATTTTAATGCTTATATTAGGGTTAGATTTTGGCACTCTTATACAAGACTATAACGATAACCTTGGTTAAATGACTTTGTTATTCTGCTTAAAAAATTTTTGAAAAAGACATAATACAGTAGTATACAAGACTGTATAAAATATACATTGATTTTAATTTTGACTTTTAATAGAGATCACTATAAATATTGTATATAAAATAACTCATATTTAATAATTATTACCTTACACATTATCATTATTTATAATAAATCATAAATATATTTTCTGGATTTCCGGAATTTTCAAAGCATGCTCTGAGCGGAATTTCTCGATTACCAGAAATGTAGTAAAACATACAGTCTTGTATCTGTATGAATGAATTTATGTCTTATAAAATTCTATAATTTGGTCCTTTTTTATCTATCGTCAAATAAAAACATGCAATTTTGATAATAGATCATTATAAATTTATAATAATCTATTTTTAAAATTGCATGTGTTTATTTAGCAATACTTGTATAATGCTTTATAATTTGTATTGTCAGTGAATTGTATTGTCGGTAAAATAAGCTTGTCGGTAAAATAAGATTGTCGGTAAAGTAATTGTCGGTAAATATTGTGTCAGTAAAATAAGCTTGTCGGTAAAATAAGCTTGTCTGTAAATTGATTTCGATAAATTAATTGTCGGTAAAATAAGCTTGTCGGTAAAATGATTGCCAGTGAAATAAGTTGTCTTTGAAGTGAGTTTCGGTAAAATAATACAGATCCGTTTAATAGTGATATTTTTTTGTTTTTGTTTTTTGTTATTTGTTTTTTTTTTAGTTTTATTTGTTTAGATAGATTGAAATTTGATATTAAAATATTATCTCTTTTTGTTGTTTGTACTTTATTTATATAAAAAAAAGCAATTCTAATAAAGTGTATAGTTGTGTTAGCCAATGACCAATAGATAAAAAATCATTAGTAAGTTTTAAAATTAGAGAGAAGTTAATAACTACATGTTTAGAAGTTAGTCACCTTGAGTAAGTCTTTTGTTAGGTAGATTAGTATAGCTATAGTTAGAATTATTTATAATTTTGATTAGCTTAATTTCAAAAATAAAAGCAGAATAGCCAAATAAAAAAAAATAAAAAAATAAAAGCAAATATGGTAATAGATATTAACAAAACTAAATAGTTTATTACTGATATTTTTATTAACAAATATTCAGTCTGCTTAATAGACAATCCATCTGTCATCTGAAGAGGACCTGCAAATTTTATAAGTAAATTTTACTACTTGCAGAATAAATTGGAAAATCTTATGAGGCTTATCATTATGCATTCTTTCCAAAACATCAAATCGCATTAGAGGTACAAGAGGCTTAGCATCGGTTTCATAATGCTAAAATTGTTAAAAAATTCGAAGACATTATTAATTGTGACCAGAAAAAAAAATGCATATGTCTTCTCGAGATATCTGGTATGATATAATGAAAAACCAGAAATTGTTATTCTGGTCACATGAAAATAACCACCTGATCAGGTGATATTAATATTACATCACAAATACGTTTACTCTCAAATCAAATTTGTATATAGCAATAAAAGTTTCTTTCAATTTATTTTTTTAGCATAATAGCTACCACAGTTTCAGGAACAGAGAGTAGCATTGGAATTAGTGGAGCTGGTGGTCGTTCAAGTAGTAAAGATATTGTTTTATTATTAATTAATAAATATGAAATAAATATTTACTTATAAAAGCATATATACTCTCATAACATACATAACATACAATATAAAATGTACAAAAACATTTGGGTCACTTCCTAAAAAAGCTAGTTAACTTGATTCATAATAATACAGAATCTAAGGTATTAATAATGTATTCCATTTTTTTTGAAACATGTATTTTGAATAAGCCAACAATCTGTTTCTCTTAGGTGATCACTCAAGTCGAAAATGAAGTTAGTGCAGAGGGCAAAAAGTGTAATAAAATTTTTGAAACGTCCATAATGTGTTCAATGCTGAAATTGTTAACAATATATTGTTCATCAAGGCAAGGTACCATTTTTGGTTTTAATTATTTTACATGAATTTTTTTCTAATTCTTTTGTTACTATTTAAGCTTAATAGTTTAGTGAAATCAGAAATACATTCAAAAGTGAAGAATTCACTTGATTAACAACTTCCACCAACTTGGTTGACTGTGATTGATGCAATATGCATGGTTAATAGTAATCAGTATCAACCTAATGTAGGTAGTTGGAACTTTAAACCAGCACTTAATCAAATAATTAAACCTATAATTAATCAATGTCCACCACCATTGCTATGGATCGAGGTGAAGATCTTATTCCCTTATCTTCAGAACTATACAACTATTTTTTGACAATTAGCTAAAATATTGATAGGTGGCCTATGATAATTCTGGAAATCATAATAATGCTATAAATAAATTCACACGCGTTCAACCCCACTGTCTGACTACAGAATTTGCAATCGTCATTGTTCTAGCTAATGAAACCACCTTTTCAGCAAATTCAAATCCAGGCGTCAGTTCAGTTGTAGCAACACCCAAAATGGCTTGTCTATCTCGTGCTCCATATCTTGGTCATTTGTCTAGGGAAATATTATTACTGCAATTCAATGGTACAAGATGAAATGAAATAGGCATCTTGTATTAGGATGTGGAGCGAATATAGATTTTAATGATATACTTGAAGTCTTTATATAAAATTTATAATCAACAAATCAAATTATTATATTTTCTTTATTATAAACAAAAATTTATATGATGATATTAGTATCAGAATCTAATTTGCAATAAAGAACATAAGGATTTGCTATGTGACAAAGTGATATAAAGGTTAGAATGGGTGTTTCTACTACTCTATATAAAAAAGAATTAAAAAAAATACTATTTAATCTTCATTGAATATGCGTAACTTTAGAAGTAAAGCCTCATTATGTGATAATATCAAATTGCGCCAGTACCTTCTTCTTATTTCATAAAAATCATGTTACAGTAAAATAAAAATGTCGAGACTAGCGGACCTCTTTCTTTATTAAATAAAAAATGATGCCAGAACTAGGGATGGGTCCGGTTGGTCACAGTCAATCATTAGTCAGTTATTATCAGTTATCGGCTAATAACTGGTTGCTCATGGTCAGTCATACAGTTAAATAACTGATCAAATAACTGGTCAAATAACTAGTCAAATAACTGGTCAAATAACTGGTTAATAACTGATTAACTATTTATTTAACTACATGTATGTTAGATTTATATTTTTACACTATAAATTCTAAAAATTTTCGATTAATATAAAAATTTGATAGATTTTAAAAAAGCATTCTGATTTTAAAATAATACTAATAAATATTACAAAATCACTCTAAGTAAAATTAAATCATTAAAATTGGTTCAGTCTAGCCTGAGATAATGCTGTAATATTAATGAAATATAGCAAAAAATTTTTAATATCTATATAATTTGTATAATCGTTACAGCTCATATGGGTAGATTTTTTGTGATACTTTTAAAAACAATCTAATTCTAGTTAAATTTGCAGATCATTTGGCCCTGGTTTATCAGTTTTGATAAGCTGGGGCCAAATGATTTGCAAATTTAACCAGAATTAAATCGTCTTTGAAAGTATCACAAAAAAATCTGCCCATATGTCTTATTATAATTTCTGGATTATTAGTGAAAATTTGCTGAATAATTTTTCAGCCGATCTGGTTAAGTTATTATTTCGGCAAATAGATTTAATAAAAATCAATATTGTACGTATTATTGACATTAGAAAAGAAGCTATTTGAAGTATAGCTCTTCATCCATCGATCCAATCAAGATGAAACTATTACCATTGGATTCA